ACCTCACAAAACTTGCAACACCACGTAACTCGGCTCACAACCGTAGCACATCGGAGCAGTGTGGTCACGTGATAGAGCGGCTGTGTGTATTTGTAGTCTCGCTACCAAACCAGCATTTCATCTCCGAGGAAGTTATCCCAGAGAGAAGTAATGCAAGTGTGTAAGTTCATCTCTGAATGTTTGTAAAGCATTCCCACGTTAAGCTTAATAACCGATATATGGAGCGACTGCCTCTCTCTCAGGAGAGAGAGAGGCATATATATATATATTATATATATATATATATATATATATATATATATATATATAACACCCAGCACGCCCCTGCGGGCGGTTTATCCTTCAAGCTCGGGTCCCCTGGGAGCTTGAGGGTCCTGCGTTGTATCTTAGCTGTTCCCAGGACTGCGCTCTTCTGGACAGAGATTTCCGATGTTGTTCCCGGGATCTGCTGGAGCCACTCGCCTAGCTTGGGAGTCACCGCACCTAGTGCTCCGATTACCACGGGGACCACCGTTACCTTCACCCTCCACATCCTCTCGAGCTCTTCTCTGAGCCCTTGGTATTTCTCCAGCTTCTCGTGTTCCTTCTTCCTGATATTGCTGTCATTCGGAACCGCTACATCGATCACTACGGCCGCCTTCTTCTGTTTGTCTACCACCACTATGTCCGGTTGGTTAGCCACCACCATTTTGTCCGTCTGTATCTGGAAGTCCCACAGGATCTTAGCTCGGTCATTCTCCACCACCCTTGGGGGCATCTCCCATTTTGACCTCGGGACTTCCAGGTTATACTCGGCACAGATGTTCCTGTACACTATGCCGGCCACTTGGTTATGGCGTTCCATGTATGCCTTGCCTGCTAGCATCTTGCACCCTGCTGTTATGTGCTGGATTGTCTCTGGGGCATCTTTACACAGCCTGCACCTGGGGTCTTGCCTGGTGTGATAGACCCCAGCCTCTATGGATCTTGTGCTCAGAGCTTGTTCTTGTGCTGCCATGATTAGTGCCTCTGTGCTGTCTTTCAGTCCAGCTTTGTCCAGCCACTGGTAGGATTTCTGGATATCAGCCACCTCCTCTATCTGCCGGTGGTACATACCGTGCAGGGGCCTGTCCTTCCATGATGGTTCCTCGTCTCCCTCCTCTTTCTTGGGTTTCTGCTGCCTGAGGTATTCACTGAGCACTCGGTCAGTTGGGGCCATCTTCCCAATGTATTCTTGGATGTTCCTTGTCTCATCCTGGACTGTGGTGCTGACACTCACCAGTCCCCGGCCCCCTTCCTTCCGCTTATCGTACAGCCTCAGGGTGCTGGACTTGGGGTGAAACCCTCCATGCATGGTAAGGAGCTTTCTTGTCTTTATGTCAGTGGTTTCTATCTCCCCCTTTGGCCAGCTTATTACCCCAGCAGGGTATCTGATCACGGGCAGGGCGTATGTGTTGATGGCCCGGATCTTGTTCTTACCATTCAGCTGACTCCTCAGGACTTGCCTGACCCTCTGCAGGTACTTGGTGGTTGCAGCCTTTCTAGCGGCCTCTTCATGGTTCCCATTTGCCTGCGGGATCCCCAGGTACTTGTAACTGTCCTCTATGTCTGCAATGTTGCCTTCTGGTAGTTCAATCCCCTCAGTTCTGACTACCTTCCCTCTCTTTGTTACCATCCGACTACACTTCTCCAGTCCGAACGACATTCCAATGTCATTGCTGTATAGCCTGGTAGTGTGGATCAGTGAATCGATGTCTCGTTCACTCTTGGCATACAGCTTGATGTCATCCATGTACAGGAGGTGGCTGACAACTGCTCCGTTCCGTAGTCGGTATCCGTAGCCAGTCTTGTTAATGATCTCACTGAGGGGGTTCAGGCCTATGCAGAACAGCAGTGGGGACAGAGCATCTCCTTGGTAGATCCCGCACTTGATGGTAACTTGTGCTATGGGCTTGGAGTTGGCCTCTAGTGTTGTACGCCACATCCCCATTGAGTTCCTGATGAAGGCTCTTAGGGTCCCATTGATCTTGTACAATTCTAGGCATTCCAGTATCCAGCTGTGGGGCATTGAGTCATAGGCCTTCTTGTAATCAATCCAGGCAGTGCACAGGTTGGTCAGTCTGGTCTTGCAGTCTCGGCTATATATATATATATATATATATATATATATATATATATATATATATATATATATATATATATATAAAACAAAGAGAGGGAAGGTAGTCAGAACTGAGGGGATTGAACTACCAGAAGGCAACATTGCAGACATAGAGGACAGTTACAAGTACCTGGGGATCCCGCAGGCGAATGGGAACCATGAAGAGGCCGCTAGAAAAGCTGCAACCACCAAGTACCTGCAGAGGGTCAGGCAAGTCCTGAGGAGTCAGCTGAATGGTAAGAACAAGATCCGGGCCATCAACACGCACGCCCTGCCCATGATCAGGTACCCTGTTGGGGTAATAGGCTGGCCAAAGGAGGAGATAGAAGCCACTGACATAAAGACAAGAAAGCTCCTTACCATGCATGGAGGGTTTCACCCCAAGTCCAGCACCCTGAGGCTGTACGCTAATCGGAAGGAAGGGGGCCGGGGACTGGTGAGTGTCAGCACCACAGTCCAGGATGAGACAACGAACATCCAAGAATACATTGGGAAGATGGCCCCAACTGACCGAGTGCTCAGTGAATACCTCAGACAGCAGAAACCCAAGAAAGAGGAGGGAGACGAGGAACCATCATGGAAGGACAGGCCCCTGCACGGTATGTACCACCGGCAGATAGAGGAGGTGGCTGATATCCAGAAATCCTACCAGTGGCTGGACAAAGCTGGACTGAAAGACAGCACAGAGGCACTAATCATGGCAGCACAAGAACAAGCTCTGAGTACAAGATCCATAGAGGCTGGGGTCTATCACACCAGGCAAGACCCCAGGTGCAGGCTGTGTAAAGATGCCCCTGAGACAATCCAGCACATAACAGCAGGGTGCAAGATGCTAGCAGGCAAGGCATACATGGAACGCCATAACCAAGTGGCCGGCATAGTGTACAGGAACATCTGTGCCGAGTATAACCTGGAAGTCCCGAGGTCAAAATGGGAGATGCCCCCAAGGGTGGTGGAGAATGACCGAGCTAAGATCCTGTGGGACTTCCAGATACAGACGGACAAAATGGTGGTGGCTAACCAACCGGACATAGTGGTGGTAGACAAACAGAAGAAGACGGCCGTAGTGATCGATGTAGCGGTTCCGAATGACAGCAATATCAGGAAGAAGGAACACGAGAAGCTGGAGAAATACCAAGGGCTCAGAGAAGAGCTCGAGAGGATGTGGAGGGTGAAGGTAACGGTGGTCCCCGTGGTAATCGGAGCACTAGGTGCGGTGACTCCCAAGCTAGGCGAGTGGCTCCAGCAGATCCCGGGAACAACATCGGAGATCTCTGTCCAGAAGAGCGCAGTCCTGGGAACAGCTAAGATACAACGCAGGACCCTCAAGCTCCCAGGCCTCTGGTAGAGGACCTGAGCTTGATATATATCATCCACAACACTACACACTAACTACACAAGACAACACATTAAGTACACACTCCAAACACGCTAAACGTCACAAATCTCTCACATCTCAAAACTCTCTCTCTCTCTCTCTCCGTCACTCCTAAAACTTCCCCCTCTTCCTAAACAACCAAATGTCATGGTGCCATATCATTTTTTGATTGGTTGACATTTTTCTACCAACACGAAAGGGCTGATTTTTGTTTGTTTTTTTATTTTTTTGGTCATATGCAGAGAGTGCTCGCTGCGCTGTCCTTAGACGTTAAACATGACGAAACTATTGAGAAAAAAACGCGTATATATCGTTTATCATGACTCTGGTTTTACCTCAGCCAAACAGCAGCGTTCATGCGATTGTTTTGCCGCCTTATCTCGTGTTGTGCCAAAAAGTTATCGCCCAGATTACTTACAGCTACTTCCGTGCAACTGATATAAGATGCAGTAAGCTGAAGACAGCTTCAGCCGCCTGTTTGTTGAAAAATAGTAACACGACCGCACCGCATTTTCTTGTTAGTAACGGTAACGGCGTTGTAACGATAGGAATAGTAATTATTTAGATTACTCGTTACTGAAAAAGGTAACGCCGTTACTTGTGCAGAGCATTATTAAATCTGCCCTGTGGGCTCCGTTATTATTGAGGTCATACTCAAATAAGTATTTAGATTTTGTTTTAGAGCTCACATGGGAACCGCAATACAAAAGCAGACTGGGAATCAATATTTTTTTTAAAGTTACCTGATGGGTTTGCAGTGTTTCCGATATTATAGTCAAACTTTAGAAATGTGTTCATAATGAAGAAGTGCAGTCATCTACTTCAAATCACCTTCATGTAGTTTGTTGTTTGTTCTTCTCTCAGTTCTGTACTATACAATGTTGAAATGTCAAAATGCTTCAGTTAATGGGAAAGTTGATCAATTGCAACACTGATAACAAGTCCACACAGTCTGTTTTACTTTAATGTCTAACTGTTGTGTTAGGTATATTTTGTATAACTCCCTACAGCTAGATTTAGGAGGACTGGGAAAGTACTAACTCTTGTCTCACTCTTTTTGTTTTGTTTAATTAATGGGGCTTAGAAAGATCGAAAGTCTCTTAGATTATTTTCTGAATCTTACACGACATAAAAATCACTTTAGTAAATATCTAGCATTTCATGGCATACAGGAAAAAAACATTTACACAATTACTGTGTAATTCCAATCCATGGATGTCGGGATCTGGTAGGTCAGCTGTAACATTCTTAAATTCAGTCTGACATTTGATCACGTTGCTCGGTTATAGTTGAATAATGTAAACTTACCACTGTGATGAAATCGCCTTAGAAACAAGTTACAACTCAAACATGCATGTGTGACCAATGTGCTTTGCTACTTAAACAAAAAGCATAATGTATATCCTAACAGTATGGTAGCCATAGTCACACGCTCTGACAGCTTGCAGTTTGTAACCTGAGATCTCTGTTGCTGATCCTCAGAAAACTCCACAGATGTGAAGTTGGCATGCTACATTTTGATAGGAGTTGGAGCTTTCCCCATTCTCATAAGCTTCTTCGGTTGCTTGGGGGCCATTTATGAGGTCCGCTCTCTGCTGAGCCTGGTGAGTATGTGTGTGTACCGTCCCCATTTAGACATGATAATGAAAAAATATAAATGATGTAAAGGTTTTCCTGTCAATAGTTAACTTTTGCATCCTTACTGAAGACTAGTGGTGCAACGGATCAAAAATCTCACGGTTCGGATCGGATCACGGTTTTAAGTCATGGATCGGATCAATTTTCAGATCAGCAAACTTAACATAACTTATTAACTTATTTAAGTATTTTTTGCCTATTAAAAACATTCAACTCAAGACTCAATCCATGCAATACAGTACAGGGCTTTGTATCTACCACTCCGCTGTGATATAACCAGCGGTCATGGTCACGTAGCTTTCCGTTTCCCTGGAGGTCCACCCATTTGTAGTTAGGGCAACAGAAGACGCCTGGGACAGTTCAGCCAAAACTTTAAACTTCTCCTGCTCATACATGCTTGGAACAATCTTGTCACTGAAGTGGACGCGCAACGAGATATCATAGCGTGGCTCAAGCACGTTCATCACCGTTTAAACCCCTTGTTTTGCACAACAGAATACGGCCTCCCGTCTGCAGCTAACACCCCAGTAGCTTCTGTAACAGCTTTAGCCCGGTCGGACTGGGCAGCAAAGGGCTGCTTAAATGCCGCAACCTCCTCTGCTCCTCCACTTGGACCGCTGGCGCAACCACTTGACAGACCCACCACGCGCACCATACACATACTTTTTTTCCTTCGTTTTTGAATCTTCGGATCACGTGCGTACCGAACCGTGGAGTGGGATCGGTTCGGATTATGAATCAACCGTGATCCGTTGCACCACTACTGAAGACCATTAGCTGTGTTACTTTAAGAGCTTATTCAACTACTGCATGTTTTGGAAAGAACAGTTCAGCTAATCGCAGTACTTTAAGTCCAGAAGATTTCCACAACAATAAAAGTGTGTACGAGTTCACACAGAGAAACACATCAAATGATATGTTGACAATTCACCTGGAAGGGAGGTTCCATCACCTGGAGAGAAGTTCACATCAGTGTTTCCCAGAGTTCAAATAGAAGACAAAACTTGGCATTAGCTATTGAGAGGAGATTGTGCATCACACCCTTGTGGAGTAATAGCTGCAAATACATTACTGAGGGAGACAAGGTAGAAGATAGCTGAAGAGAAACAAACAGAAAGGACATCAAAACAGTGAGATCTGGACTTTGGTATCTGCACGTGCGCTTACCAAACTATCTACCAACTTCCATTCTATCCAATATCATCATTCAGCAGCTACACCCAGGCCAGAGTAAGGCTAAACCTGGGTTAGTGTCTTGCATACTTGAAACATGCCACCGTGTTTTCCAGTGAGCACTTGTGCCCTTTTATCAGTACCGTTGTTATCCAGTGTTCAGCAGTCCACTGTAAATTTTTGTGGCTTTTTTTCTAGCATCTCTACAATGTTTCTTCTAAGTGTTGTGAAAGTAGTGATTGAGGCTTCACACAGCCAATTCTTCTTGATGATAGGAGACTTTGTCAATAAGCAGACTTTGTACATCATTTATTTACAATACTGTCAAAAGTTTTTCCCCCTTCCTGATTTCTTTTTTTTTTTCCATCTATTTGTGATATTTAAATGTTTCAGATTATAAAACTAAATATATCTTATATATAAGACAAATATAACCTGAATAAATTCAAAATTGTCATTTCATTTATTAGGGGAAATAAATAGGGCCTCATTTGGTCAGTTATTCATCATTTGTGATTCAACAGTAAGAAAGAGACTGGGCAAAAAATGCTTTCACGTGAGAGTTCCAAGGCGAAAAGCGCTGCTGAGCAAAAAGAACACAAAAGTGTATTTGTCAAAAAAACATCTCGATCCCAACATTTTGGGAGAAAATATTCTCTGGACTGAAGGTTTGTGTCCTGTTACAACTGGTGTTACATCTGGTATCTGGTTACTAACACAGTGTTGCACAAAAAGAATATTATGCCAGAGTCAAACGTGGTGGTGGTAGTGTGGTGTTCTGCTTTGCAGCTTCAGGAGCTGGGTGACTTGTCATAATCGATGGAACCATGAGTTTTGGTCTCTACCAGAAAATTCTGAAGGAGAATGACAGGATGTTCAAGTGCTCTTGGGTTAGGACAATGAGTCAAAGCACACCAGCAGGTTCACCTCTGAAGTTAGAATCTGGACTTGAATCAGCTTGAGATGCACTGGCAGGACTTTCAGCAAGCTGTTCATGTTTGAAAACCCCAGCAGGGCTGAATTAAAATAATTCTGCAAAGAGTGGGCCAGAATTCCTTCCCAATGATGTGAAACACACATTGCCAATTATCACAAATGCTTAATTTTAGTTTTTGTTGCCATTAAAAATCAAACATTTAAAACATGGTTGCATAGATGGATGGATCTGAAATTTAACAATATATTAAAAAAAAAAAAAACAGGAAGGAGGAAAAGACTTTTTATCTTCATATTCTGTTTTTTTAAAGTGGGCCACAGCGCTCTTAACTTAAAGAATGGCTGCCTCAGACCAACAAACAAACAGCTCTGAGCACAAAAGCTCTCTCTGAGCTCTCTTTTCTCTGTTGGCTCTTGATGGAGGCGGTCGCACTTTTCTCCTTCTCCCTCTCCCTTATCTTTCCTGCTTGGCTTCTCATCTTTTGTATAGTCTTGCTTATTCTCTGACCCTCAGAGAGTTTCTCAGTCTTGTTCTCTAAAACCTAAAGAATTATGGATTTGATCAACTGGTCCCGTAACGGAATTGACACCTTCCTGGGCTTGGGAGAGCCCGAGTGTCCTGCGGAGACGTTTGCTGCCGGATACTGGATGGTCGGTTGCGTCGTGTGTCTGGTGACGCTCTCGATGGAGGACATTGAACGACATCTACCAATTCGGAACCATGATAACAGAGTTCTGGCTGATTGGAGCTGGCTCGGACCCGGCTTATCGAAGAACAAGAAGCGGCTACAGCTGTTTAAAATCCCACAAGGCTGGCCGACATGACAGACGGTTGGCAGGACTGTGAGTGCTCAGACTGTGTTTTGAACGCAATATAGATAAGATCTTGGAGAAGAACAAAAAGAATTGAGAGAATTGGTGACCAGTGACGGACATTAGACCAATTGTAAAAATTGGATGCAGTTGTTTGCACTAAACCCAATCATTGTAAAATATCCTGTAAAATAGTCAGATGTCTATTCATATTAATGTACAGAATTCACCTGCTTGCTGCTACTACTGCACATTCACCCAGTGTATATACTATATGTGTATATATATATATATATAATGTTCTTCCTCTACACCCCCCCCCCCCCCCAATTTTTGCACATGTCGAGGAGCGTGTCAGGCTACATTTCACTGTGTGTTATACTTGTATAACTATGCATGTGACAAATAAAGAACCTTGAACCTTGAACTTGAACTTGAACTCATTCATCTTCACTCATGCGGCTATCCCACTGGCGCCAGCTGAAGGCCTGCCAAGGTCTAAGCTGACTGGAACAACAAAAATCTCCATGATAACAGGATTGTTGTCAGGACTCTTTGTTCCTCCTTCAAGGCCGTCCACGTTGATTGAAGATTGTTGACTTTTGCTTAACCGGGTGAAGGGACACTTTCTCTCTTTTTCTGTTCTCAAACTGATCTCCCTGTTGGAGCTCAGTCTGGGGGGAGTTCTTTCTTCTCCTCGTCTTTCCTCGTGTGTTTCCTTTGCTATACCTCTCTGACCTGTCTTCCCCATGTGATGTTTGTGTAATGTATGTATGGTCGGAGGGTAAGATGGCGCTGGCACGGCTGGCAGCCTGGGGAAAACTGCATTTGGATATGGAGTTTATTTGCTGCTCTCCCTCTTGACAACAGTAAAACATAATAGAGGGATATGCTTGTGTATGTACCACTAACTAACATATAGAGGTGGGTCTGACTGTTCAATTTCAATTTAATTCAATTCAGTTTTATTTATACAGCTGTTCACATGCCCCTAAATTTTTGTATTCACTGTTCTCTGTGATCCTCCTCAGTACTTCAGCGTCATCCTGCTCATCCTCATCACTCAGTTTGCAGCTGGTGCCCTCATCTACTTTCAGAAGGATGTGGTGAGTGATGGCATTTCAAATATTGCAAGCTTGAGTTCATCCACATGCTGTGATAAATGTACCCACCATGCAAAGAAAAAAATCTACAGTAGCAGTGTTCAGACTTAGTTATTTAGTTTGAGGTATTTCAGCCAGAAGTAAAACACAGTGAAAGCTTCATGGTTAAGAATAGTTTTTAAAGTGTTTACTATTTGTTTTTTCTTGGTTTATTTTGAGAGATGAGGGTTGAGGTTTTCTTTAGTTTATATCAACTGCAAAGTCAGTCCTTTTGCCAAATACGAGCTGGGTACTGGGTGTCAAAGCGTTTTATACTTTACGTTTTATACTTTTGCTCAGAGAGCCAGGAGATTGTGTTCACACAGACAAATGAAAGCAGAACACTACAAGAAAAAGGACGTCAGCTTTTACTGTATCTGAACTTCTGCTGGAAGGTCTTCTCAGCCACTGTCTGCTGCTCAAGTCCAGGCCAAACCTCCTTCCTGCTATGAGTTATTTCAGTCATTGGTCCAACAATAAATGCTTAGCTGATGTGAAGTGTTAAATAATGGCATACAAATACTTTGTTACTGTACTTTGAATTTTCACGTGTCTCTGCTTTAACTGAGTAGTTCTCTTTATATTGACTCCCTACATTTTTGAACCAATATCTGTATTTCCTACTCTTTACATTTTCAGAACAGGCTCATTAATTTTGATTTGACAGATTTAAGGCTTCAAACATCAAACCGATTTGATCCTAAACAGCAACACATGAAAGGCAGTGCTGTACGTGTAAATCCCAGAGGATGTCACATAACAGGAGGCAAAACCATGCACTATAGTTAGAGTTGAAAGTGGCTGAGAGTTTTGATTTTTTGGGGGATTTTTTGTTTTTGTTTTTTGCACAATGCTGGCATGACTGCAGGTCATAAGCGGTATTTCCCGTCGCTTCGATCATAGTGGCCAGCCTTGTGGGGTTTTGACCAGCTGTAATCGCTTTCTTTAATCTTTGATAAGCCAGCGCCGAGCCAGCTCTGATCAGCAAGAACCCTGTTATCATGGTTCCAAATAGGTATAAATCTTCTATGTCCTCAATCGACAGTCCCGCCAGGAAAACGCTGTGCCAATGCTGCCACCCATCCATCGTTTATCCGGCAGGAAATGTCCCTCCAGGACAATCAGGCTCTCTCGAATCCTGGCTTCTCATCGACAAAAGGGTGTCAATTGTGTTGAGGGACCAGTTAATCAAATCAATATTCTTTAGGTTTTAGAGAACAAGATGGAGAAGCTCTCTGAGGTTCTCTCTTAAAGTTAGTTGAGACTAGAGAAGGACATGAGAAGCCAAGCAGGAAAGATAAGGTGAGGGACACGGGGAAAGATGCGACCGCCTCCGTCAGAGCCAAGAGTTTACTGGAGCTCACATTAGAAATGATCGTCAGTTATGAGTTGTTTTCCCCACACTGAGCCATTACAATCAGTTTTAGGGTTCCCCCACCTGCTGTATCCCACTTTAACCCTGTACTCATTTTCCTGTTTAGAAGCAAAGTCACCCTCTACAATGTAGGCAACAGAAAATAGATTTTAGATTTTAATAGATTTCCTTCTTTTTCTCTGCTCATTTCTATTTAATTGGTTCAAGCTGAGGACAATTAGAATAAAAAACTCTGACTAAATTAAAGTTTGTATTCCCACTTGCTATTTTGTTATTACATTAACATAACAGGTTCAGTTAACTTTACACAAATAAGCTGTTTAAAAAAAACATCCTCGAAAGAGTTACTTTTTTACTTTGAGTGCATTTCATTCAGTACTTCAACATTTACTGGAGTACTTTTTAGGTATCTGTACTTCTACTTAAGTGCAGAATTTTTGTACTTTTGCTACCTCTGCAGTTCAGTCTCTACAGACGTTGTTTTGGCTGGTGATTTATTCTTCCTCATAATCTTTATGTATCAGACTTGAACTAACTTCACATCTTGGGAGTTTGTAGTCATCGGGTGACTGAAGCCTATCCCAGCTGCCATATAGTGACAGACAGGGTTCAAACTGGACAGATCACCAATCTGACACAGAGAGACAGGCAACCACTCACATTCACACCTATGGGCAATTAAGAATCACCAATTAACCTAACCCCACAGGGTGTAGGTGTAGATAGCCTGGATCTTGTTCTTTTGCCTGGTCCTCTGCAGGTACTTGGTGACTGCAGCTTTCCTAGGGGGAGCTTCATGGTTCCCATTTGCCTGTGGGAACATGTAGCTGTCCTCAATGTCTGCAATGTTCAGTTCCATTCAATTTTATTTATGTAGCGCCAAATCACAACAACAGTCACCTCAAGGCGCTTTATGTTGCCTTCTGCTAGTTCGATCCCCTCAATTCTGACTACCTTCCCTCTCTTTGTTATCATCCAAGTACACTTCTCCAGTCCGAATGACATTGCAATGTCGTTGCGGTATATCCTGGTGGTGTGGATCAGCGAATCCATGTCTCTCTCTTGGCATACAGCTTTTTGTCATCCAGGAAGCCGGTGGCTGACAACTGCTCCGAAGTCAGTATCCGTAGTCAGTCTTGTCAGTGATCTCACTGAGGGGGTTCAGGCCTATGCAGAACAGCAGTGGGGACAGAGCATCTCCTTGGTAGATCCCGCACTTGATGGTGACTTGTGCTATGGGCTTGAGGTTGGCCTCCAGTGTTGTCCGCCACATCCCCATTGAGTTCCTGATGAATTCTCTTAGGGTTCTTCTGCTCTTGTAATAATAATAATAATAATAATAATGGATACTTTATTGATCCCCATGGGGAAATTACTTGTTTTTTCTCTGCATTTGACCCATTCACTCAGTGAAGCAGTGGGCAGCCCACTAAGCAGGCGCCCGGGGAGCAGTGTGTAGGGACGGTACCTTGCTCAGGGGTACCTCAGGGTAGCCGTTAAGTGGATTCGAACCGCCGACCTTCCGATCATGGGGCGACCACTTTACCTACTGAGCTATCCCTGCCCTGTAGGGATAGCTTGTATAGGTCATTCCAGGATCCAGGTGTGGGGCATCGAGTCATAGGCCTTCTTGTCACAATCCAGGCAGTGCACAGGTTGGTCAGTCTGGTTTTGCAGTCTTGGGTAACTGCTCGGTCTACCAGTTGCTGGTGTTTCGCGCCTCTGGTATTCTTGCCATTTCCTTTCTATGCCCCGCTCATGTATTGAGCCATGTGCCTGTTCATCTTAGCCGCTATGATGCCTGACAGGAGCTTCCATGTGGTGCTGAAGCAGGTTATTGAGACTGGTAGTTGGATGGGATCGGCCCTTTCTGGGGGTCCTTGAGGATCAGGACTGTCCGGTCTTCAGTTGGCCTTTTTCGATGTCTCTGATCAACTAGCAGCAGGTTCATTTGTGCTGGCAGACGCTCGTAGGGTGCAGGAGCAAAACTGTATTCTGTTAGCAAAGAGTGTAAACTAATATAAATTCTGGTGAAAAGTTTGGATGCAAATGTCTGCTGTTCAGCCTGAACAAAAAAAAGAGGCTTATTTTGAGATAAAACATCTGCTGACCTGAAGAAGCTGACTGCTCCTACAGTCCTTCTCTTTTTTCTTTTGTCTTTTTGCATTCATAAACTTTTTGAACTTGTGTAAAATAAGTATAGCTATGTTTTCCAATTATTCTCAGAAGAACCTTTTTTGTACTTTCTTGCAAATGAACTGCAATATTTCTAAGAAAGACCTACACAATATGTTAGTCATCATATTATAAATGAAGATAAGATAAGATAAGATAAGATAACCTTTATTAGTCCCACACGTGGGAAATTTGTTTTGTCACAGCAGGAAGTGGACAGTGCAAAAGTTATGAGGCAAAAATTAGAATACAATAAGAATAAATACAGTACACAGCTGTACAGAATAAAATAAAATAAAATACTATATACAGTAGAATAAAATAAAATAAATATACAATAAGATAAAAATAGAATACAAATACAAATACTATATACAACTGAGTAAAAATACAACGATGGGCTGTAAATATTGTTGTTATGATTGACAAAAACTCACATAGTCCTTCTAATTAATAAGATTTAAAACATGCCACATTGAGAAATTTTTATTTTACTTAGCGTCTGGCATAGCATGTAGTGAGGGCGTTTTAATTTAGTTCATTTGAATGGTATCCATCCAACAATATATTCACAAAAAGAAGACACAAAAGAGACACATTGGCTCAAACATGGATACAGTGTGGGCATATTACGCTGCCTATATGTTTATGGTAATACATGTTTCACCAACTCTGGCAGCCTGCTGTCTTTCAGGTCAACGAGCAGATCTCCAAGGTCATCACTAAGGTACTGGACAAATACTCTGGGAACAGTTCAATCACAGAGCAGGCCTGGGACTTCATCCAGACTAACGTGAGTTGGAAGCATGGACCTGAAATACAAACCCATCAATAAAAATATCTTCAGTGGTACAAAATGGCAGAAATGTCCTAGCTAGAAACTAGAAGCACAGGAAAGTCCATTTTTAACAGGGGAAATTTGATGCTTTACACTTTGTAACTATACAGTTAGACTTGTTCTTGTCAGCTGATGCTGGAAAATGCATTGAAACCCTAAATGAGACAAAGAAGACAAATTAACTTGAATTTACGTTTTCTAAAGAGACTAGGCAAGGCAAGTTTATTTGTATAGCACAATTCAACAACAAGGTGATTCAAAGTGCTTTACAGAGACATTAGAAACAAAAACAAATAAAAAGCATGATTTAAAATTGATTAAAACAAGCAAACAAACAAAATTACTAATTAACAAACAAACAATCAAAACAGATAAAATCAGAAATAGATAAGATCAGTAGTTAAATGTAAGTTTTGAAATTTAAGCTTAAAAGTGTGGATTTGGTGCTTTATTCAAATGCAGCTGAGAACAGGTGAGTCTTCAACCTGGATTTAAATAAACTGAGTGTTTCAGCTGATCTGAGGCTTTCTGGGAGTTTGTTCCAGATATAAGGAGCATAAAAGCTGAATGCAGCTTCTCCGTGTCTGGTTCTGACTCTGGGAACTGATAAAAGACCGGATCCAGATGACCTGAGGGATCTGGAAGGTTCATACTGGGTCAGGAGGTCATTGATGTATTTTGGTCCTAAACCATTCAGAGCTTTATAGACCAGCATCAGGACTTTAAAGTCTATCCTCTGACGGACAGGCAGCCAGTGTAAAGACCTCAGAGCTGGACTGATGTGGTCCACTTTTTTGGTCTTAGTGAGGACTCGAGCAGCAGAGCTCTGAATGAGCTGTAGTTGTCTGACTGATTTTTTAGGTAGACCTGTAAAGATGCTGTTACAGTAATCAAGCCTACTAAAGATGAATGCATGGACTAGTTTTTCCAGGTCCTGTTGAGACATCAGATCTTTTATCCTAATAAGAATCTGTCTGAAATATATTATAAAATTTATTTTGTACTCTGAGCAATAACAATCTTAATTTCCACTGAGCTCAGGAGGTAGAGCAGGGCATTGGAAGGGTGCTCAGGTAACGTAGTAAAGGGTTATAAAAGGACCAGTACTTTTGCCTTTTACCACTTCTCCATCAATGTGTTTCCAAAAGAAGGTAATGTAGCTTAAAATAGCTCTCTAGATTTCTCTTTTCAGCCAGTTTCTTCTGAAATAATCAGATTTCATTTTTATATGAACAGATTCTGTCACTTGTGACAAAATAGCTTTGCAGTCTTGATAAGCAAAAATGACTTAATATCAACCTTTAATTTTCAGTAATCTAAACCTCAGTTATTTTAATCAGCAGATTTCCTGAGTTTAAATTTTTGCACTGTTAGTGTGTAGTCACCTTATCTCAACACACTTACGATATAATGTTTAATATAAGATAGCTGCATGTTGTAAATACTCCATTTGACTGCATTGTGTGGATCTTAAAGGCTTCCAGACATCTGTAATCACAGAAAATTCTCACACTACATGAGAGCAAACTGAGCATTTAACTTGTCTAATCCTGGTTCACACCAGTGTTTTCCAAGTGAAACAGTAACTAGAACTAAGGTTTGTGTGATGTCAGAACCTCCCCGGCAACATGTTGACATTAACAGGAATTTCATTTCATTTCAAAATATGAAAGTAGATTAATAACATTTGTAAATAAAATACTTTGATATTTTCTTCAGAAATGTTTACATTGGTGTTAAATTGAAAAACATGAAATCAGGCCAAAAGTAGCTGTTCCAGAATGATATGTGTCAACCCCTTCATCAGCCGTGCCAGTCAAACGTCCTTGAGAGTAAAACATTGGCTGTTACAAATGAAACCTGTGCTTAACTCTCCCCATCTGTAGATGGAGTGTTGTGGCTGGATTGATCGTACAGATTGGAGTGGTAACATGGTCATCGTCAACAGCTCGCAGCTGCTGTTTCCCTGCTCCTGCCAGAACATCTCACTTATTTCTGGAAACTTCTCTGACAGTGGATTCTGTGAGGCTAAGACACCTGACTGGCCTGTATACGATGTGGTAAATGGTGTTTTCCGTTCATCTCACATACTTGCTGTCTCTTAGATGCATTTCCAGTCAATAAGGTTCTTGTCTTAATCAGGGATGTGCCGCCAGCGTGGAGAGGTGGCTCCTCACCAACATTGGGGTTGTGTTAGGCATTTGCCTTGGAGTGACTCTTCTTGAGGTACAACGTCATTAACTCTCATTCACCTATAACTAGCTGGGTTTCCATGAAAGTAGTTTACAGAAACAAACAATATGCAAAATAATACCTGTTACAGTTCAACATCACTAAAGTGGCTTTTTTTGTGAAACCTTTGGATGTGTCTGGATTCTTTGTTAATCATAAAATGTTGTTAATTAAAGTCAAATACAATTTTAATAAAACAAGCAGCTGCACCTTCATGTCATTGTTGAACACACCGAGTAATCACTCAGTGAAGGCTGAGCAGTTCCTCTATTTACAGTGTTGTGACACAAAGCTCTGATGTTTTCTTTGCTCTCACACACTTTCATACACTTCTGTGGCGTTACGCTATGCAGAACTTTTTCACAAATTTCTGACAATTTTTTGTCACAAATATTTGTTTTGAAGAAGAAAAAAAAGGCAAAGTTCACCAACAATTATGTTCTTCGATGCAAAGTGAGTGGAATAAAGACTCTTTGTGTTATTAGTTTACTGTGTTTTTTTAATGTTTGCTACTAAGAATAAGCTCATATCAGACTGGAGAAATCTTGGTAATTCCAATGTATTGAAACTGTAGATTGAGTTTGTTCAAGATGAACAATCTGAGTTGTTTATGAATAAATAACTTAAAAATGAGAAATTTCAAAGTGTCTTTCTCTGGTCAACAGCTGCTGGGGATGATCCTGTCCATCTGCCTGTGCAGGAACGTCCACATGGAGGATTATACCAAAGTGCCAAAATACTGAAGCTCAGCGGAGGAAGTTACATTACTGAACTCAAGAAACACACAAATAGGGAGCAAAGTATTTGGCGAAATTGTATCCAAGGGTAATAATGAAATATGTCTATTTTTTTCCTTAGATTTCATTCGATTTTATCCTCTAAGGCTTTTTGTCAGTCTGGTTTTATTTTAAAAACTTATAGTTTTGAACTTTGGATCAAAGCGCAAAGCTGAAAAATGCTGAGAGGACACTGGGTTAGAGGAGATTAATAAAGAAAGGTGTCGTACTGGAGGATTTCTTTCCCTGCCAGTGTTGCTGGTTTCCACAGTGCCAACTTGCTGCTGCATGCTTTTAGTTTCCCTTGAAAATCTGAAAGTAAACCATCTGTGCATCTGTAATAGTGAAGTGAAAATGGATTCACCTTTCCTTTGGAGGCATTAATTAGCAAAATTAACCATTGAAATTTCAAAATTTTAAAACTTTCCAGTTTGGCCATCATGTTCGTTTTAGGTAAACAGCTGTGAGAAATTCAACCAATGGAATCATTTCAGAGATTTTACCCTTTATGGTTAATCATTCCAATGCTTTTGACAATATACTGTAAAAGACTGAATTTCGAATGAAACACAAACTATTGTTAGCAAATCATTCACAAAAATATATATACATGTATCTCACATGATGGCCATTTGAAAAAGAAAAAGAGAAAAAGGAATTCCTGTGTTTGTATCTACTTCTAATGATAAGATGCCTGCAGCACTGTAAAAATGTCGAGAAAAGCAAAGTTTTGACGACTCTGGAAAGTCCACTCGGTGGATGTTTTGTTTTATTTTTATATGCCAGTGTTTTGAGTTATTGTGTAAAGTTATAGTAGTTTGTCTGGAATTTAAGTGTTTATTTGTAAGAATTTGAGTCCCCAAAGTATTCCTTCCAGTATTTTCTATGGCAGCAGGTCTCTCCTTCAATTTTTAAACGATGTTCTTTCCCATTCTCCTAATTGCTTTTAAGTCTGAAAATAATAAAGGAAATAATAAGGTACTAAAAAGATACTTGTCTTCTAAAAGTGTTTACTATTGGCATTTTTAAACAAGCAAATAGAGCCTTTTTAGGTTGAAGTATGGAACCTTGTTTAATCCAGACGTTTGAGAAGAGTAGCACATTAATTGTAACCACTTGTGAACTGTGTGACATGATGGGACTATTTTTTAGCACGGATCCTTGGCATTCATTTGTGTACAATTTTAATTTCAAGCCAGTATGTGGTTTTCTCAGTGGCCTGTTTTTTGTTTTGTTTTGTTTACAGTCGCATAAATACCATCCCATTAACCTTGTAATGGTTTCTAAGACACAAAAGGATACATCTGTTTAGAAGTACATGGCCTTCTTCAATTATAGCTTGTTGGTGTCATAAGTATGTACTCACAAATGGATTCATATTTCATTTTGCCAATAAACTGATTACAGTACTTCAGTGTGATTCCTTGTTGCTCACGATGTTGTTAATATATATATTTTAAATGTAGTGTAAATTTTTTTTCATGCTCTCTAAATGTCTCTAACTCAGAACTTCATCTCTGACAACATTGTTGTGGCTGTTGTTCTTAGATTAGACTGTTTATGCACCTACATAAGTTTATCCTGCAGTCTAAAAGACTGCATTCATTCTAATGACCAGCAGGGGGCGTCTCCTGATTGCAAATAGGAGCAATCAGGAGAATAGGAAAACGGCCCTCGGCCAGTTTTTCCTACATGGTAAAAAAAAAATACAGTAGTAAATGAAAGAAATCTGTCAGCAAGACTCTTTGGTCTTAAATTATATGAAGTTAATGTGTAAAATTAACATAATCTATAGTTTAATAACTCAAAGTGCTTTATATAACATACCTCATCCTCCCATTCATTCAAGCAGCCTTTTATTTCTCTTCTCCTTAAGTGCTTTCTATAGCATACACGCTACAATGGATGGACTGGAGAAAAACTTGGGGTTAGCTGGAGCAGCCAGGGATTTAACAACTAATATTTTGATCAGTTGATGACCTGCTCTACCTCCTGAGGTACAACCAAGGCACCGTGTTTATCAGTCTCACGGCTTGTGCAAAGAACGCTTCCAGCATCCTGGTGGTTCTGCAGCTGATGCTCCTGTACCTCTTGCCAGGGGTGGTGGGGGTCTCTGATGATGGAGATAGCTCTGCGTATGCAGCACTGTTTGTAGATCTCCTCCAGAGACGAGAGAGGGGCACCAACAATCCTCCTGGCAGTCTTAACAATCCTATTAAGTTGTCACTTCTCATTGGACAAACCAAGATGTCAAACTTTGTGTCAGGATGTTTTCAATGGTACAACCATTATGGTAAAACTGTTACAATTAAAAGCCATGAGGAATGGCCCATGGTCAAAGGAAACATTGATTTCACTTGAATCTCTTCCTTGTCCCTCTGTCTAGTTTCTTGCCGCATTAAGTACACCCTCCTCACCTATATAACAGCAATCTCCTGGAACTGCCAGGGTTTGGTACCAATCATTGCTGATACTGATGTTATTGCTGCAGTGGTTTTCACTGTTGCCTCACAGCAATAAGGTCCTGAGTTTGACTCCACTATCTATTTTCAGTTCTCTTTGCATGTCCATGTTTGCATGGGTTTCCTCAGGGTGCTTCTACATCCCGCTACAGTATAAAAACATGTCATTAATGGGGGTTATGTTTCTAAATTGGTTATTTGGTGATTCTAAATTGCCCATCGGTGTGAATGACTCTTGCATCATATTGGTGAACTATCCAGGGTGTACCTCACCTCTCGCCCTGTGGTAGATGGGATAGGCTCCAGTGCCCCCACAACTCGATGAGCAGAAGAGAGTACAGAAGAGAATGGTGATTCGGCAGCAGCTACCCGGACATATGTTGGTTAATTTGACAAGGTTTGCTCCATCTGTTTCGATTTCATCTGTTTTCTTTTTCTCTTTTAGCTTTTCAGCTCCACTGTTTTGCTTTTGTTTTTCCATCTTTATCAAACACTTCATCCACACCAAATTCTATTCTACAGGGTGTATGAGCACACGGGGAAGGTATGAAGCACTCTATCAAGCAATGTGACACCTGAGCTTTTGGTTAATAGGAATTACCTGTGACTGCAGAGGAGGTGTGGGTGTTTGCAGAGACAGCTGGACAGCTGTCGAGAGCAGTCGAAGCACCGAACAGGAAGCTGTGTGGCTGAGCTGCCATGAAGAAAAGCATCTAGTGTTTTGACACGCTGTAAAAATGAACTGTGTAACTATAATTGAACGCTGTGTGGGTCCGTGGTGTGTCAAAGACACTAACTCTGCTTTTATATTAGGCTTCAAACTTCCCTTCTTGCTAAAGCATATAGTTAGGGCTGGATCCGGTGACCCTGAATCCTCCCTTAGTTATGCTGCAATAGGTGTAGACTTGACACATTGAGTATTTCTTCTCCAGTCACCTTTCTCACTCACTATGTGTTAACAGACCTCTCTGCATTGAATCATATCTGTTAATAACCTCTGTCTCTCTTCCACAGCATGTCTTTATCCTGTCTTCCTTCTCTCACCCCAACCAATCACAGCAGATGGCCCCGCCCCTCCCTGAGCCTGGTTCTGCCGGAGGTTTCTTCCTGTTAAAAGGAAGTTTTTCCTTCCTACTGTCGCCAAAGTGTTTGCTCATAGGGGGTCCTTCAATCCTTCAGAATTTGTCATCCGTCAGTCGATGTGGTTGTGTTGATCAGTTTGAATTGTCTCAGTAGAGAGCCATCGTTTTGCAAGTGCTGATTGGGTCAGTAAACCTGTAAAACTGGGTTTCTGTAACACAGAGTAAATCAATTTTTTGATCAATCATTAAATCATTTACTGATAAGAAGAGAGAAAAGTTTTACACTTAAGCTTTGTACTCTTTGCTGCAGTTGAGGATATTATGGTGTTTTTCTTTGTGAATTTTTATGTTTAAATCATTTGTTTTTCATTTTTGGTTTGTTAGTGGGGGGTTTTTTTTGGTGGTCTGGGAGCAGATGCAGTCTTTATCTATAAAGCCTACATAATTTTTTGGACACCACTCAGCCAGCCAGTAATTTAAGGAGAGCACGTGGCTAAACATGTCCCTCCTGGTCCGATTGGGAAGGGGACAAGAGAAAACTATGACATTGTTTTCACAAAGTTACACACCGATTAAATATTAATTGTAATGAACTCCAATTGACGTAACCAGGTGTCAAGTGTGATGCTGACAAAAATGATAATTTGACATCATTTACACGTATCTTTAGTCAGTAGTTTCAGGGTTCCTTCAGTGTCTGGCGACTGGAAGACATTTCACTATGGTTGCTGGTGTTTCCAGCTTCACATGCCTCAAAACAGAATTGAAAATACCAGCGTTTGTTCCTCGGCAGGTGAGTGGGGGAAAACGATTAGAGACATGAACAGTTTACTGGGGCCGTCTGTTTAGGACTAAAACTTCCTCTTCACCGTCAGCCAGCCAGCCTGTTTTCCCAGGTATTCAGGCCCATCTGCTGGCTATGCTACGTTCGTCTACACTGGTACAGTTGAAGATGACATATTTCACATTTCAATGAAGTCCATTTTTTTATATTCCTGCAAATCCTGACCCTGTAAAGGAAAATCAAATATCATCTGATCCTGGGCATCTCAACAGTGATCACATTACAAACAATGAAGTCAGTATAACCACTGAACAAATAGGCTGGTCCATTTGAAGATCTTCTTACAACTCGTATGAGGAAAACACCAATGGTACAGAAATGCCATAGGATCACAAGGACAGGGAAAAAACATACTCTGAGGAACTTGAGCCCTCGCCCAATAGTGGTGACCTTTCTCTTAGCTTGGCAAACCTACAGTAAGGGTAAAGGATTGACATAAGACAAAACATGATTCCTCTACTGTGGCAGAGTTGTTGGGACAATGTTTAGTAGCAGTTTTCATGTATTTTCTGTGGTATGATTTGGTGACTGTTTCTATCCGGTTGTTCAGTCTGACGTCACTAGCCGTGTCTGGGCCTAAACTCCGCTGCAGGTCCATATATCAAACGATCACTGTGGCATTACTGAGAGTTGAAAAACTGTCTAAAGTCTTTCATCTTTAATAAAATGATCAGCGTTCTGCTCTACCAGGTGTAACAATTGAGTTTAACATCCAGGCATCCATGAAAACGGAATTTATGACATTTAACGGAGTTAGAAGTTAGCAGGGAGTTAGCTCGCTAGCTTCTATCTAAATACAATATAGCATGTCCTGACTGCCGGGTTTTGGAAACAAATTCAAACGTACAGCTCTGTTATCACTTCCAACATAAATGAAGACAGAAAACTAAACAGCAGTGACGTTTGTAGGGTTACTGAAGTTGGGCTAGCTGGTATATAATGATGTGCTACGTGACCGCTAGCGACACAGCTATGTTAGCATGATATAAACAAGCTAACTTTTTTTCCACTCGATAAAAGTTAACGTGAGTGTTCTCGGTGGTCAGGAACAAATTAATCGCATGGCAGGATGCTGTAAAAGGACCAAACTTCAGCCAGGAGAACAACTGAGATAATCCATCCACAATACGAGGTTAGTCATTCATATACTGCTGCATGGGCTGGGCTGTAGCTACATCCTAAGGTTTTAAAAACTGAGCTTAAATAAATGATTAGCGGTAATAAAAGCCGAGGGAGGTCAACAGGGATCACTGACTGTTTTAGGAGCTTTTTGAGATCAAATAGAAGAAAATACAAAACATTAAACATGTTAACAACACAAAAGCCATATTAAACGCAGACTACTTTAGACCCGGAAGTAGGATTCGTCACGTCATCACTGAACAACCGGATTGTTCATGTAGTGGGTTTTTTTTCTTTAAGGTCTTCTCACTAGAAGTTTGGACGTTTTTCTGCCATCTTGTAGTCCATACACACTGTTCTTGAATTCTACTGAAACATGCGGTATAAAGTCTGTTCATTTTTCCTTTTTCACAAACACCAACAAGATTTTTTTTTCTGTGATCCAGAAGAATCAGATTACGTTGCGTCTACCTAGTCTTCAGATTCTGCACTCCT